AGAAAGAAAGAAAGAAAGAAAGAAAGAAAGAAAGAAAGAAAGAAAGACAAAAAAAACTAGCCAGGCCAGGGGTCTTATATAGCACAGACTGTCCTCAAAGTCTGTGTAGCCAAGGATGACCAAGAACTCCTGATCCTCCTGCCTCTACCTCCAGGGTTCTTGGGATCAAACCTAGGGCCTATGTATGCTACCAACTGAGCCAGATCCCCAGTTCCATTTTTCTCTTCTTTCTATTTATTTATTTTTTTATACAGCGTTCTGCCTGTGCACCAAAAGAATGCACCAGATCTTACTATAGATGGTTGTGAGCCAACATGTGGTTGCTGGGAATTGAACTCAGGACCTTTGGAAGAACAACCAGTGTTCTTAACAGTTGATGCATCTCTCCAGCCCCTAAAGGTCATTTTTCTAGTTCAGCTTTTCTTTTGGCTAGAAGGCCAAGCATGCGTTCGAGAACTGATTTCTTTAAAATTAGATTTTGTGTGTGTGTGCATGCACTCATTTCGCTATGTAAGTATGAAAATCAGAGGACAACTTGCAGAAGTCAGTGGTGGACACATGCCTTTTAATCCCAGCACTCTGGGAGGCGGAGGCAGGTGGATCTACAGCCTGGTCTACAAAGCCAGTCCAGGACAGCCAAGGCTACACAGAGAAACCCTGTCTCAAAATGCAAAAACAAAAACAAACGTCAGTTTTCTCCTAGCATGAGAGTCTAGCTGGGATTGAACGCAGGTCCTCGGGCTTAGCAGCAAGTACCTTTGCCTGCTGAGCCATCTCACAAGATCCTAATTTTCACATGTTAGGAATAAATGTAAAATTGTCACAGTTCCCTGTGGACTGAACAAAAAGACTTGTAGGATGAGAATGAAGCCCACAGATCTCAGGGATCTCTGGTTTATCTCTAGCAGAACTGTTACTATACGGTGGGAGGTGTTATTAGTACTTTTTTTTTTTTCTTTTAAGACAGGGTCTCACAAGTAGACTATGCTGGCTAACAGGTGGGCACCATTGAACCAGGGTCAGCATTATTTTTCCTTCTGCACATGACACAGAGACCTGTTCGATGGCCATTGTCAGAAGTATGGAATAGGCAACCAGACTTTCCCACAATAGGGAGGGTGGTTCTGCTGGGTACTCTCTGGAAAGTCATTGAGTCCATCTGGAACTGGGTGAGGCTGGATGGGGTTAGGATGAGGGGGTCTTTCCCCCAACTACCTTGACAGTTTGGGAAATAAGTGCCTGAGCCACTGAGGACTCAGATCCAAAGTGAGTTAAATTCGGAGATAGCAGCCCCATATGGAACTGAGCAGTCCCTCAGTTCAGCTGGCTAAGGAACTGTGGAGGCGCAGATTGCAGCTGAGGCCTCGGGTCCTTTGCTCCCTACTCTAAACCTGTTTTCTCAACCTGCAGTTTTGGATATAGCTTCATTGATCTAAGGGACCCTGGATTCGTGTTGTGTTTCTGAGTGTGTCTTCTTGTCTCAGACCAGGCCCAAAGCCTAACAAAAAGTGATCCACACAAGTACTCTAGTTTCCACAGTCCCCAGCCACCTTGCCAAAGCTTCCCATCAGCCACAGCCCACCTTAGGGCCCAGTTCTGCATGGCAGTGAACTTGAGACCTGGTCTTTATTATTGACACTCTCTTGCCTCCCTGGCAGCATGAAGGCCAATAGTACCTCTGAGTATAGAATGGGGTTACTTGAGAAAGGACAGAACTCTGAGGCCCCCAAAGTTCCTTTGCCCTTAAATACAACAGTGACCCGCTGAAGCCTCTGTTTGGTAAGTTCCCATGGTCAAGCAGAGAAGGTGACAGACCCAAGGATCCCTCTCGGGAGATCCCAAGGACAGAAGGAAGGAAAGGACAGAGGCATCATATCCCTGACCCACTGAGTTCATGAATTCACTCCTATTTTTGAGTCCTCCTTTGGCCCAGGGCTCAGCATCTAGCAATCTCAATTCTTTGTCCCTTATTCCTTCTCCTCCCCAGAAAAAGATGGCCGCTTAGTCTACACCTACTAGTTCCCATTCTCCAGACGGACATTTACAGGGACACAGTTTGTCAGAATCCATTCTGCTCTAGCATGAGAAACAGAACTGTTTTTGGAGTCCTCTGTGCAGTTGCTCAAAGCCAGCATGGTGACCTGGCTCTGTACTCATCTGGCTCTGGGGCGTATGAACAGATTACCTGCTGGCTCCTCTAAAACTGCTCACCTCCAAAATGGTCCAGTTTCCTTGAACTGGAGTGCAGGGCCCTTGGCTAGGGCACCGCTCTTGACATCACCAGCACCTGGCCCAGTCTGGCTCCCAGTAAATCCTTTTCATAACGACAGAGGACACTGGTCTTTGTGTACAGCAGGTGCTCCCAAATGGTGACACTGCTACCCTCAGAGCCTCACTTGTAGATGATCAGTAACTCATGCTATTGACACTGTCAGGCCACATGGATTAACTCTTAATTGTATGCCAGGCACTCTCTAAAGTGCTTTGGATGTATTCAGTTCTTTCAAAGGAGAGGTGAGTCTTCATGATATTACAAAAGCAAAGAACAATAACTCTAGTCACATCTTAGTTTCTGTTGCTTTGATAAAATAACAAAAACAATGGAAGGAGAAAGGACTTACTTTAACTCACAGTTCAAAGTACGTACGGCCCATCATGGAGGGGAAATCAAGCTAGCGGGAGCCTGAAGTAGTTGGTTACAGCTGCTTCACGATCAGGAAGTTCACAGGAAGCAGAGGGGGACGAATGAAGTGCCGGGCTTGCTTTTGTCTTTCTCTAATGTCCAGGATCCTCTGCTACCACGAACAAACTACAAATCATTTGAATGAATGCAAAAAGAGACTAAGAGCTAACTTCTCCCATAGTGAGACACAGTAGGTAGTGGCAAATCCAAGAATATAAACTCTTTCTTCCCATATTGTGTGAACCCAGGGCCCTATGCTGTATGTGCACTTTCCCTCTAAGCTACAGGTCACAGGCTGGCTTTGAACTTATGACCTTCCTACTTCAGTTTCCCAAGCCTCTGGGATTACTGGAATACAAATTACCTGGCTAGCCTGGAACTCACTTTGCCCTCAAACTCACAGAGATCTACCTGCCTCTTCCATCTAAATGCTGAGATTAAAGGAGTATGCCACCATACCTGGGATTTTTATTTTTGAATGAGATCTGCCTAGTAATTGTTTATCCAGTAACTAGTCTCTAAATCCTGAGTTGACAGAAACTGTGTTTTCATTTAAAACAACAGAAGAGTCTGGAGATAGTGGCCCATACCTGTAATCACAGAGGCTGAAGCAGGGGGATCAAGAATTTAAGACTCTTTCTTTAAGAAAACAGTGAAAAAAAAAAAGTGTGTACATTTCTTAGAACAAAATATGTTGAGTGGGGCTGGAGAGGCAGTTCAGCTGTTAAGAGTAAACTCTGTTCTTCCAAAGGTCCTAAGTTCAGTTCCCAGAGCCCACATGGCAGCTCACAACTGTCTGATGTCATTTTCTGGTATGCAGACATATATGCAAACAAGGTACCCATGTACATAAAATACATAAATAAATAAATCTAAAAAAAATATGTTGAGTCCCTAAAATGCAGACATCTCAGGAGTGTGACTCAGTTTCACCTAACTTAGGCCTGTGCTGGAAGTAGAGGCAAGGACAGGAGCTGGGGCACCATAGCTCCCTCTGCCATCCACACACTCTTCCCATGCGCTAGGAAAGGACGTGGCAAGAACTTGGGCTGACATCTGGAGCACTGAGCCAGAGCAGCTGGCCACACCAAGCATTTAATTACCACATCGACCCTTTAAGGAAAGCACTCTTGCCGTTTCATGGACTAGGACACTGTGGCACAGAGGGACCAGGTGTGAATAATTTCCACCAAGTGCCTGGAACTCAGTGGCTTCCAAAGCCTGCTTGGCACGCTCAGAGGCCACTGCATCTAGAAGGGGTATGCTGTCATCTTTGGCTTCATGATGACACTGTGAAAGGCACACAGTGGGCACATATGTGTATCACACATCATCATAGGACCCAGTACATAGTAGGTGCTCAGATGAAGTCTGCTCGTTGGCTGGGGATTAGATTATGGTGTGGGGACAGGATCACTGGCCCTCGATCCAAATTGCTCCCTGGGATGGATGCTCACTACCCATAAGTCTCTTTGACAGGGTATTGAACCCAAGCCCTGAGAAAATGAGCACATTTGAGAAGGTTCCCTGCTCCTCCTGGCCATGCTGAGGCCACAGAAGAGCACAGTTCAAGCCACACATCTGCAGGGTCCATGTAAACAGGAAGC